CCCACAACTCAGAAATATATACACCCATATATATATATATATTTATTTAAGTTGTTTGTAAACAAAGCCAAATAGCACTCGGACTGGCTGCTGTTTATTTGATATTGTTTATTTGCCGCTGCTCGAGATTATGTCAACGCGTGCTGCAGTGCCTCAATAGCTACTTCGAGGCGATGCAATTAGGCTCGAGCTGCTGATGGATGCTCGGGCAGTATAAGCACTCGATGCGAATAAAGGGCGACTTATGTGCATATGATTGAGCCCTGTTCGGGTCTTTGGCTACGACGAAGAAGAGGAGGAGGGGAGGCAAAACTTTAATTGGTGTAAACAAAAGTATAAATACTTTTCTGCTGATTTTTCACAGCATTTTCTAAATAAATAAATTCTAAAAAATAAATTTCGTGCTCGTGCCACACGAGTCTCTCGCTGTCCGATTCAATTAGGCAGTTAATTTCGATTTGCAATCTATGAGAGGGCCAGCGAAACGCAGCTCTAATTGATTTGCCACTAGAGACTGAGCCAACTGAGAATGTCACACACGCGGCAGCATCTCGGTGCAACGATCTTAATTTTGCAGTGCTCGCTTCTGGGAACTAGCTGCAGGATGGCAATAAAAAGAAGAAGAAGAAGAAGAAGATGCAGCAGCAGCAGCAGAAGAAAAAACAAAGAGCAAGCAAAAGAATATAATAATAAAATTGTAAAATAAAAAAGGACAATGGCAAAAAGTTGCCAAGAACATGGCACAGACAGACAGGACGGACAGGCGGACGGACGGACAGTGTGAGGGCAGGGAACAATGGTTCGGGGCTGAAGAAACAAAAATGCAGTTATCTGCATTATGGCTAAAAATGCTTGCCACAAAGGCACCGAATGGTACGGGCCGAGAAATGATGGGTTATTAAATGTTGTTAATCTTTAGCCCCGGCCCCGATTCCCGACATATTCAAATTTCAATAGTAAGTAAAACAAACACTCTGCTCTCGCACAGGTAGGCAACAGTCTATCTCTCTCGCTCCCTCGCTCCCTCGCTCTCTGTTGCACACTTGCTGTTTGGTAGCCGCAAGCAGCAACCACCGTTATGGCCTGGTCGAGGACAATAGAGCACAAGAGTCGCTCAGCGCAACGAGAGAAAGAGAGAGAGAGAGAGAGAGATCCGAACTCGAACCCGAACCCGAACCCGACTCGGATCCGAGTCCCAGCCCGAGTCCGAGCTCGAGTCGGTGCCAGGCAGAACCCGAACAAGCCTCTGTCATTTGCCTTTATTGTGCACGCTGTTTAAATATTTACGAAGTTTTTACAATATTTATGACAGCTAAAAACATAACAACACCTACTTTAGGCCCAATAGACCCTTTTGGCCCAGCCAACGGGGACACTTGACACTGAGCAACGAGTGACCGATGCTCGGCTTAGGCCCGGCCCAGCTACTGGCTTAACTAATACACGGCCAGGAAGCTGAAGATGTAGCTGTAGCTGTAGCTGTAGCTGAAACTGAGACTGGCCTGGCCTGGCTTGGCCTGGCCTGGCCTGCCTGTCCGTTCGATTGCAATCAATAAACGGCTTAGCCACAGCGGCAGCAGCATAATATTCAAATATTTTTGTTGCAGGTCCGGTCTATAATCCATTTGTGTGTCAACACTTGGCCCTGGTCAGCAGAACATGAGCAGCAGCACCAGCGGCAGCAGCAGCAGCAGAGGCAGAGACAGCAGCAGCGGCAGCAGCAGCGGCTGTCTAGCTAAAACTTGCCATTTGGCCGAGTTTGGCAGCTTCCGTTTTTGGCTGCGCTAATCCCCGGGCCGCAAAGGTGCCACTAAGCGCCCTAAACGGAGCTTGGCTTAATACGCGGCTCAACAAGCCAACGGCATTAAAAAGTAAATTTGCGTAAAGCCGCTCGCAACAAAGCGAGGATTACGGCTCACATAGATGGCCACAATGAGCCACTGAGTGGCTGAGCGGCTGAGTGGCTGAGCGACTGAGCAGCGACAAGTGCAGGCCAAGTGACTGACTGAGCGCTTACTTTGTGGGCTGCTTAGCCCGGCTAAACGGCGGCTCAGCACCACACACTGGCCAAAGTTCATTGAGTTAGTTGGCTCAGATCAACTAAGCTAAGCGGCCAGCCACAGTGCAACGATTGCCCATTGATGCTGCCTGATCTCCGGCCAAGGCCAGCAATCACCTGCTCTGCCCTGCGCAATCGCAGGTAGGCAGGTGGAGGCATTGGACAGTAACTGCAACTGCAACTGCCAATGCAACTGCAGCTCTGACTCTGACTCTGACTTCGACTCCATGCAGCTGCCTCTCCCGCCGGCTGCGCGTGCTGGGCGAGAAGTGCTAATAGTTTGACGCCGCTGCCAAAGGATCATAAAAACCTTCGCAGCACAATTGGGCAGGGGCGGGCGCTGCTCGCCAGCCATAAAGACAAACGATCCCCGGACCCCACATAAACACACACAAAAGCAAAAGAATCGATCATAAAGCCAGCCAGAGCGAGCCAAACTCAAACTGGATGCCAAGGGGCAAATGAATTGCTTGCACTTTTCAATTGCTCGTTATAGTATTTATATAATAATAGACTGTAAATATATATGTATATATACTGTATATATAAATATATATATACTGTCTGCTCTATTTGTAGTAACGTCAAGTATTCATTACATCAATTGACTTCATGAAAGACTTGACTTGAAAGAGCAAATTGATTCCACTTCTAAATTGTTCAACACGAATTGCATTCAATAATTAATTAAACATATCTCATTTCGTATACATATATATATTCTTTATAGATCTACATAATATCTGCTCCATATGCATAATTTATTGCTTTGAATTTTCAACCAAAAATTGTACTCAATAATAAATGAAATATACACTAATATATGTATAAAATATATATAAAATAATGTCCATTTCAATTATATCAAATATAAAGATAATAAATAAAAAATTTATAGAGATTGGTAATAATAAACGAATATATTAATGATCAAACATATTAATTATTATTGATCAAACATATTAATGATTATGTACATATATTAACAAATGCATATGGAATATATATTTTCGGCATTTATATTTTTCAATCTCAAACGCAAATAAAATATGTAATATTATTAAAATACATGAAATTACATTTTCAAGGAGATATAAATAGTATTATTATATTTTATATAACTAAAAAAAATGTACACATATAAAGCCTAAAAGCTTAGCTTAGCATTACTTTTAAATTACATTGTCAATTTTAGTCTTGTTCAAATGAAAACCAAAAATATAAATTTAAAGGTCTTATAAAAAAAAAAAAAAAAAAAAAAAAACAGAAAATACAAAAAATCCACATTAAAGACCAAAATGAAAATTCAATTCAATAAAAAACTTTATTAACGTATATAATAAAATATAAATGATATCTTTCGAGCACTTTCGATAAGTTTCCATGGGCAACATGAAATATATGTACATTGATTAAGCACATACCTATCTTATAGGCTGCCTCAACTGGAAGCCTCGAACTATGTTGAAGGAATATTTCAATAGATTTACTTTGCAATTCATTTACACCTATTTTATTCAAAAACTTAATTATAAATTATTTGCTCTAAAATGATGTCAACAATGAGGAACATAAATCGTTCTATATATACCAATATCAAGCTCAAGTCTTTAAATCGTACTATTTGGCAAAGGATTCCACTTGTGACCGACGTTTCTATGCATACAAAATATTTTTACCTTATTTTGTTAAATTTATTTAAGTAGTTTTTATATGAGTTTATTGAATTTTAAAATTTATTATGGGCTTTCCCTTTCCATTTATGTCCTGAAGCCACCGCAAATGTTTATTTTAAATGCATGTAACAGCCTGAAGTAAGTAGCCTTGGCAGAGCCCAAAAAGTATATACATTATTCTGGATCTACCCATGCACGTCTATCGCTGAGATCTCGTCAACTACTAATGCTGGAGACTTGAAATTTGACGTGCCTAATCATGTATAGCATACATAGTACGAGTTTATTATAAATTTTCGATAGCTCATCAGATTTTTATTATATCAATATAATATCGATTATTTTACTTCATTTTTAAACGTGATTTGAATTCTTTGAAAGCCAGAGACTTCAGATTTATTGTATAAGTATTGTATAAGCACATAGATGTAATTTTTAGATTACCCCTTAAGCCCAACATTCAAAAGAAGGGTTTTAAATAGTAATTTTCAATTTTTTTTCTGTTTCATTCTCTTTCATTATTATAGCTAAAATTTGAAAGTTAAAACATCGACTTTGTTTTTGTTTTTAATATTTGCATTTATTATTTGCTTTCTGTCGCAGCTTATCGTAACATGTTTTCATATGATCATAAAGAGTGTGCGCGTGTGTGTGTGTGTGCGTGTGTGTATGTATGTTTGAGCTTATCTATTTACAACTTTAAATACTTAAATACTAGAAAAAAAAAATTGGGGTCAGAAACTAACTAAGCATTATGCGACTATATCACAGTTAAACAAGACCTAGAGCTAACAAAAAAAATGAATTGGGACCGATGCATAAAATCTACTTGAAAATTGTATAATTTAACTTACGAAACTAACTAACTAAAAAAATTGTAGAGATTGAGAAAACAGTTAATAATACTTTCGAGCTGGTGTTGGATGTCGTATTGGTGTGTGTGTGTGTGTGTGTGTGAGGGGTGCTGCAGTTGCGCATATGTGACTAGAACGGCAACTGCTGAGCTGATGCTCAGGTAGTGGAGAGGGGGGGGGGGGGTGGCTAGGCTAGGGGCTGGTGGAGCTGGACGACTTACGTATATGCGAACTTTACACTTAATCCGAGATAATATGTGCTAGCTGCTTCAATAAATAATAATACTTTAGAGAGAGATGGTGAGAGAGAGCGAGAGAGAGAGAGGGAGCAAAAGAAACTTGTTTGCAAACTCCATCAAATAATTTACTTAAACTAGGCGAGCTAAGGGTTGCATATACATAATATTATGATTATGGAGTTTTCACGTGCGCAGCACGCGGCGCAGGTGTCGCTGCTGCTGTGTAGCAGCGCTCGCTGCTGACGGTGACGTTGACGTTGACGCTGACGCTGACGCTGAAGCTGACGCGGACGTAGACGCTGACGCTGACGCTGACGCTGACGTTGATGCGGATAATGTTGCTGTTGCTGTTGCAGTGGCAGTTGCTGCATGCGGCTGCTGTCGCTTGCCGCGCCGCCCCCTCACGCCTCTAACCGCATCGATTATCGGCTTGGACACCTCATTGAACTCACGGCGATTGCCAGCGATGGCCGGCGCCAGCTGCTGTCGCTGCTGCTCCACTTGATGCCACTGGCGCTGCCGCTGTCGCTGAAGATGTTGCTGCTGCTGCTGCTGCTGCTGCTGCTGCTGCTGCTGTTGCTGTTGCTGTTGCTGCAGCTGTTGTTGCTGCTGCCTTTTCTGCTGCTGCTGGTGTTGATGGTGGTGGTGTTGATGGTGGTGGTGGTGGTGCGGACGCTGTCGTTGGCGCTGCTCCAGCGGCTTCTGCTGCTCGCGCTCCCGTTTGCTGTGGCGCCGCATCAGCTGCCACATGGTGCGCAGAAACTCATAGTAATGATGCTTCACGAAGCGCATGTCCATGGCGTCGGCCTCGCCAATGGCCGCCGCTGCAGCGGCCGCTGCTGCCGTTTCGGTGGTTGTCTCCGCCGCAGCCGCAGCCGCCGCCGCAGCCAGCGCCCAGGCACCGGTGCGAGTTTTGCTGCGCAGCTTCAGCCGCTTGTTCATGTCGTGGCGCGAGACGTGCTTCTGGCGTCGCTGCTTGGCGGCAGCGGCGCCGGCACGGCCCGGAGCCAGCGGCGGATAGGTGCGATTCACGGCTGTCTCCAGCTCGCAGAGCATGCTGCGCGAGCTGAGCAACAGCTTCTTCAGCTCCTTGGCCACGTTCGACTCCCGCTTCAGGTACTGCCGGTCCCAGTTGATCTGGACGCGGCGCAGATAGGCGAAGCTAGCCACATAGGTTTGCATGTTGCGGTACCAGCGCTTGAGGGCGATCTGCAAAAAGGAGTAACAGAGAGGGGGAGCAAGAGAGAGAGAGAGAGAGAGAGAGAGAGCGAGACATTAGTGAGCTACTTAATAAAAGAGAGATGCATAGAGATAGATATAGAAGGAGAGAGAGAGAGGTAGATATACATACCGTTGAGTTTGGCTTCAGCTTGGGCAGAAATTTGTAATTGTATTTGTGCAGCGACCACATGTGCATGTCTCTGATGTCGATGCCACTGTGATCCTCGGTGCTGTTCAGCTCATGGTACTCCGTGCCGGCGGCGCGCTTCAATTGATTGAAGATCTAAGGAGAGAGAGAGAGAGAGAGAGAGAGAGGGAGGGAGAGCGAGAGAGAGGGGGAGTGGGTGAGTGAGGAGTTGGAGCTGAATCTGGAGCTGCGCTAGTTACCTGCTTGGGCCGCTGGGCGCGTCGGCTCTCTGTGGCCGAGGGTGTGTGGTAGGAGCCGCCGCAGGGATTGATCCACTCAGGAGCCGTCGTATTCTCGTTGTAGTTGCGATAATCGTACCAGCTGCTGTTCCGCTTGCGATGCCGCTTCCTCTGGCTGGAAGCGGGCACAACGGGCGCTGTGGCTAGGGCCATGTGAATGTTGGCGCTGCCGGTGGCTGTGGTGTGGGTCGTGTGGGTGGTGCTGCGGCTATTGTTGCTGCCGCTGTTGTTGCTGCCACTGTTGTTGTTGTTATTGCTGTTGTTGTTGTCGTTGCTGCTACTGCTGGTGGTGGTGGTGGTGGTGGTGCTGTGACTGCTCCTGCTGCTGCTGCCGGTTGTGGTGGTGGTGGTGGTGGCGGTGCTGCTGGTGGTGCTGGCGCTTTCAATGACAGTCAAGCCGCCGCTGGCCGTGGCCATGGCCAGTGTGGCATGCAGATGAACAAAGTGAAGCAGCAGCAGTGGCAACAGCAGATTGGACCACATATCCGCATTGTCCTGCCGCGCAATGCGCCGTTGAAGCCGTTGCCTAATGCGGGGCGTTGTCCTTGTGGTTGCCGTTGGCGATGCCGTCTTGGTGCCTTTAACTTTGGTTGCAGCGCAATGGCAACCAACTATAGATAGATGACGATATATATTATATTATATATATATATGATATTATTGGTTGTTCATAGATATGCATATATGTAGATAGATACATATGTATATGTATATATACATACACACATGCATATATCTAATAATATATATATATATATATATATATGGATAGATAGATAGCTGTTCTTCTTGTTGATTTTCTTTTCTTTTCTTTTCTTTGATTTAATTTTTGTTAATTTTTATTTTTATATTAATTTTTTTTTTTTTTTTTTTGTTTTTTAGTTTTGTTCTTCTTTTTGTTGCGTTATTGATTTGTATGAATAGATATATATATATATATATATTCGAGAATTTGACGATTAGCCGATTTTGTTGGGAACTTTTGATCGTGTGTGTTCAATGGGCCGAAACGGAGGGAAACAGAGCTGAATTGAGGTGCCAAAGTGCAGAAGCGTTTGTAACAGTAAATGCCAGAAAGCAAAAATAATAGTATGTATATATATGTTAATATATACTTATGTGGATGTTCGGCAAAAGCCAAAAAGAACGAGAAAAAGAAAAAAAAAAGTAAACACACACACAATGAATATCAGGTGATTAACATGGCAGGAATTGTTGTCGCCGGGTCAGAATCTATTGGAACAGGACGCTTCAATTTTTCAAAATTTCTTTTCAGTTTTTTTTTTTTTTTCTTTTGCTTTTGTTGTTATTTTATTTAATTTTATTTTTTTTTTTTTTTTTTTTTTTTTTTTTTTTGAGGGGGTGTTGTCTGGGTTGCTTTTCGTTCAACAGTGCGGATGCAACAGCAATGCAACTTGCTTGTCTCTCAAAAATTTTGTTAAAATTTGTAACATTTTTTATTTTTTTATTTCGGGTTTTTTTGGGGGGTTTTTGGGTTTTTTTTTTGTGCGTTCAAAATGTTCCGCTTTTTCGATTTTTTAGATTTTACGAAAAACAACAACTTTGAATTTTTATAGATATAACAGTTAACTCAATTCTCTCAATTTGAACAAGACTATGATGTATGACAGATCAAAGGCTACGGAATGAACTGGAACTTCAACTGAGTTTGAACTATTTCACATTTGCAGCAAACAAAAAATTCAACAAAAAAAAAAAACGAAAAACGACGAGAACGCACAAAGTGAGGAAAAACCGTGTGGCGCATGCGCAGTTGCCCTTCTTGGCGAATCTCATTGAAAAGGAAAATTATACGAAAATCAACTTGAAGTTCAATTCAATCAATAAATACTTTAAATATTTATGAGCATTTCAATTAAATTAATTATAGATGTATTAAAAATAGTAATAAAACAAAACTAATACACACACCGCATTATAGTCCGAAAAAAAAAAACAGGAACACAAAGTTCGCCGGGCTAAATTGTTATTAACAATTTGCAGTTAGATCCAGTTGTTGTTTTTTTTTTTTTTTTTAATGTTTTTGTTGTTGTTTTTTAAATACACGAAATGCACTTGAAGAAAAAAGTTGATAGTTTGGTGAGACTGCAGAACACTTCTCGCGGACACTACTGTTCACGTCCAGGCACAAAACCGAACTGAACCAAAAGTTGCGCTAAATTCGACCAGCTTTCTTTGTTGAGCAGCAGCAGCAGCAGCACAGGCAGCAGCGGCAGCGGCAGAGGCAGCGGCGGCTGCGGCTGCGACCAGACACCAGAGACTCGATAACCGAAACCGAAGCGACCGACGCGACGTCAGTCAGAGACAGAGCCAAAAGACCATGTGAAAAACGAACGGTACGTAAAAGAAAACTGAAGACTGAAGACCCGGGCCAGGCCGGGTCGAGAGTCGGGTCGGGCCTCTGACTCTGCGACTCTCTATGTATGCCTGTGTATGTGTGTGCGTGTGTGCGTGAGCTGCGCTGCCTGCCAGTCCATTTCCATTTGTCTGCCTGCCTGTCAGGCCTGATCGAGTGTTGTCTGGACCTGCCCCGCTCTTCGTTACCAATGACTGTGCCTGTGCACATACCTGATATACATCCTCTACACGCACGCACACACGCACACACTCACACAGGCACACACACACACACAGCTCTTGGACCGTACACCAAGAGAAGGCAGACCAACCAGCTAGTCGAGCATTTTTGAAGCCGGTCCCTGTTCGGTCACTCATCTCTCTCGCTCCCTCCCTCTCTTTCTCTGTGTGCGTGTGTGTGTCGCCATCGCTGTGTCGGTAGGCAACAGGCTCACTTGCAGCTTATCCAATGAGAAGATTTCACTCAAAGCGCACTCATAGAAATCAATCTACCTGACCGTACGCCTGCCCCAAGGCAACAGCTACCTCTCACTCACTCGCTCTCCCTCTCTCTCTCTCTCTCTCTCTCTCTCTCTCTCTCTCTGTCTTACTCCCTGTCATGCTGCTCACTCTCTTGAACTTTCTTTCTCCTTCTAGAAGACATGGCTCTATCTCTTGACGACCTTGGCTTGCCAAGTTAGCCAAGCCCTGACGGGGCCAAAAGCCAATTTACCTGTCTATAAACCACTCGTTGGGTAACAGCTGAAGCCTGGACGCCCCAAAGTATGCTCAGTTTGCTTAGTCTTGCCATTATAATATATATGCCTTAGGGAACTTCCTTTTCTTCTAGTAAACTCATCAAATTGGGAGGTCCAGTGGTATTAAAGTAAATAAAAATAAAAAAAACAATTTCAATTGAAGATCTGCAAAAAAAATTAGAATTTCAATTGAAATCAGAATTTCAATCAATATACATATACACATAACCTTGCATGCCTGATCCTTGGGTTAGTTAATCTTTGTACGGTTCCACTTATCCGTAATTAACGATCATAGCAAATTTTTGGTATTGAAGATCTGCAAAAAAAATCTGCAGTTCCAATTATGAAATACTATGCATAAGTCGTTGATCCTTCATTAGGTTCATTTTTGGCCGAAAGGAAACTAAATTGAATATTATTTAAGAACGAAAATGATATAAAAATGAAAAAATATATATTTTTCATATATTGATTAAGAGATTTATATATATACATATGAGTACATATATAGGTATATGTATTTTTTTATAGCATCGTTTTATATTGTTTTTAAGTATTTTATAATGTTATATTAAATTTATTATTCAATTATTATATTATTATTATTATTCATTTTCTATAAAAATAAATAATTTATCTAATATGCCAACATTATAAAATACTGGAAAACTATTTTTAATTATCATATTTACAAAGTACATACAGATACATATGTATTATTATACAAACCAATTATTTGTGGTGAAAATTTTAAATCTAATTTAAAATCTATTAAAAATTTGGTTTTACTAATGAGCTTATACACTTTAAAAATCTGTACATTATTTTGGAATGAATATTCAAATATTTAAAACTCTTTTGGAAATAATATTTTAAAATTAATTTGTAAAATTCTATAGAATTTTGTATTTGTATAGGTATAGAAATTTTGCATAATGTTTATACAAATATTTCAAAATATTTTTAATTTTATAAATAATTCTTTAAATTATGAATTTGCATTAAACTATTTTATAATGAATATGAATATTAATACCTTTTTTAATTTTATTTGAAAATATTTTTAATTTTAAAAGAATGTATATATATACATACTTTAAAATATTTAAATCTATTTTACAGTTAATATACAAATATTTAAAATGGATACAATTCTTTTAAACATAATGTACAATTTTTAAAAAAAAAAAAAACCTTATAATTAATATAGAAATATTTTAATATATTTTAAATTATGCTGGAATTAATTCGTTTAATTAGAATTAGAATTAGAATTAGATATATATACAGATAGTTTATGCAGATAATCTTTATTCTTTTTCTACCCATCTACATATTTTTACCCCCTATATCCTTATACTATAAATTCTATCTATCTATCGATCGGTGCTTTATACTATCTATCTATCAATCTAGATCTTATAAACCATCTATAGATTTATCTACTCGTCTTCATATATCACTATTATACACATATGCTTTATGTTTATATCTCAATACATCTCTACTATATACTATACCATTTGAACAGCAAATCCAATAAGTTCACTCAGTTTGCTTGTAAGAGTCTAGCACTTTGCAGAGTACCGTTAAGGGTTAAGATTGAAGACACGTGTTTGGTAGCAATAGAGGCGAGATTCGTTTGCTTGAAATCGCGACACCGTCTCGCGGCGTTGTACTCAACTCACCTTGGCCTCATTCTCACGAATCAACTGTTTTTGGCGCACTGATGACATCGAGACATCGATTTGCATATTTATATAGACTATGGACGGATCTGAGCAGCTGACCAGTTGGTCCCAGGCTCAGCTGCAGTTGGCGGCAGGTCAATCGCTCAATCGGTCGCATCGATTGGGTAAATGATGTTTGTTGTTACCTAAAGCGACTGCCCCATGCTCGGCCTTTATAAGGGACGGGCGTTACCTGGCCTCGATTGCTGGGCGGTCGCCTAATCAAAACTGACCTGACTCAAGATATGAGGTATGAGCCATACTCCATCTCTATTCCATCCAGGCCAGCTCTCACACACAGTTGTTTGTGTTTGTTTGCCTGTCTGCGAAGTGGGACAATTGACGAGCTAATTAAATTTAGTTGCAGCATTGTATTGTTTCTTTGACTTTGTTACAAAATTATGGCCACATTGTTTGGCCGAACAGCTGTACGGGCCGCCGGCAGTCGGCAGTCGGCGTAGAGAGTCCTGCGTCTAACCGTAAGTGCAATTGTTGACTGGGCCGCGCAGCAGCAGCAGCAGCAGGAAGCAGCCGTGTCTCGCAGCGGGGTCACTCGCCTTGATTTTCGCCGCGCGCCACACCGAACGACGGCACGGCCCAGGACTCAACTCGACTCGACTCGACTCGACACGCACACATCCACGCACAGGCAGCATCCTTTGTATGCCATCCCATGGGATGTGCATCCACATACACCCCACACACACACACACACACACACACCCACACACACACACACGCATACATATATCTCTATCTAGCTGTCTATATCTAGCGCTTGTATCTTGTAGCTGTATCTGACCAATTCGCACCAAACAACTTCATCTACATGGACAACAAACACGATTATTGCATTGATGAGCTCCTGCTGCTGCTGTCTGCATACACAGAGTGCGCAGGCGCGGCAGGACGCCTCGTCGAAAGGATCCGACCAACGGCTGCTGCCACCGGCACATAGTCCGTGTCCCATGCCCATGCCCATTGCTATTCCCACTCCCATTCGCATTCTCTTTTGCTGTGCTGACCTCGCTCACACTGTGTTTTAGTTGCGATTCGTTCTGGACAACAAAATATTTTGCTACAAAATTGAGTTGTTCTGTGCGGTCCCCGGATCCGCTGTCATGCTGTAATTTTTTTTACCGGCCGTATCAAATCGAAAGGATACGCTTAAATTGCCGCAGACAACGCCAAAGGCGGCCGAACACCTTCGCCGACCTCGCACACACACACACACTCACTGAATGGCTAGCCGAGCAGTCAAATTGAACTAAATTGATCGACTTGCAGATACCCTGTAAATGTGAACTAGCTAAATGTTTGCTTTTTAAGCATGGGCAACGTAGCTATGTATGATATATGTATATAAATACATATTGATCGATTTTTATATACCATACAAGTGTGTCTAAATCTAGTATATGTATTAAATATATTAGTATTTTTTAAATTTATTAATTATGTTTGGATATAGTTTCTTATATATATTAATATATTATATTTATTTTTAAAATATTTATTTATTATTCCTTTTCATATAAATACTTTAAAAAAATACATATATTTCATTACATAAAATAATAACTAATATATTTTATTATATAAAATATTTTGATTTTTTTTTTTTTTTCATAAGTAAATAATAAATAAATAAAAATAAATAAATAATAAAAATATAAATATTTTAATATATTAAATAATTAACATTTCTTGCATATTATATTAAACATATTTATTATATTTTTAGCCTAGTAAAATATTTGTAGGTAATCGAATCGATTATATTATTATTTTCATATATGAAAAGTATTTTTAGCACATTTTTAAATTTATTTTATATGCTTAAATAATTTCTAGGTAATTAACAAACAAAACAAAAAACTACATAACCTATATATATTTCTTATACCAATTTTATTTTTATTCACTTATATAAATTTAAATAATTGCACGAAACCATTTCAGCTAAACCTGTAAAAGTGCTCAACATTTTGTTATCTTACCTGTTGCTATTGTCACGCATATATACCCACTTGCCTGCTTGCGGCTAGGGTATAATCATTACACGCTGCTTAGCTCCTGTCCCACACAGAGACCTGGCCAAATCGGCAACCGTAACCAAAACCGAACCCGAATGCAGCCCCTGAGCCCGTGTTCTCTCTCTCTCTCTCTCTCTCTCTCTCCCTGTATGCCTAACTGTTGCTCGTTCACACTCGCTCTCGCTCGAGCCTGTTGTTGTTTTGTGGGTGTGCAACTTGTGTGCCGAGGTGTGAGTTTTTAGAGGCTAGTGCTGTTTTGATTATGCGTAAAATCGTTTCACTTTATCATGATTTTTACTGCCAATTCTCACATTGAGGCCATGTCTCAGGTGTCCTACTGTACAGGCGGCACTGGATTGCAACGGTTGGTTAGCTAATTCGTTTGTTTGCCTACTCTGCCCGTTTGTTTAGCCAAATTAGCGTTGCAATTGGCATTGGCTTTGCCCACATTACAAATGATTACAAATACTTGAATGAGCCTCGAATTGCAGCATCATTGAAGAGCCGATCAATCGGTCTGCAAAACTTCGAGCTGTTTTCGATTTGCCACGCCCCTAATTAGGTATTAGTGCTGAGCAAATCAATATAGGCTGTCAACAGCAGTTAAGGCGTTAAATTAGATGTTTCAAGCTCTAATACTGAAGCAGATACAGTTTTATCCGATTTGTCACGCCCCCACGTCGACACAACACACGGACAGATGGGCGGACAGTAAGATGGACATTGCACAAAACCAACTCACTTCATTTTCGTGAATAAGTATAAATAGTATTGTAATAATTTAATTAATTACTTATACAAAAAATAAATACTTAATTTATATATAATATATAATATATTATATTGTATTATATTATATTAATTTAAATACATATATTTTGTAAAATATTTAAATGAATATAAATTATAAATAATAAAAATAATAATGAATTTTAAATTAAATATATATAAACCATTTTTTTTCTTTTTGGTTTCACATTTGTGATTAATATATGTATATAGGCATATATTATTTATATACATACATATGTATATATTTCTCCAAAATTTCCATGCACATTAATCGAATCAGGTAATTAACACAAATTAAAGTTTTATATTACTACAGATTATATGCACATAAATATATGTACATATATACATACACACAATAAATATATATTTGCAGCTGTTTGGGTAATTCCAGCAAATTCGAAAAATCAAACTGGGAATTTTAGTGGTAGAGCGCTGAAGTTGGCTGCAGAGCGATGCGGTATAACAGCGAATAAAGTGGAAAATCCATTACACTCGGATAAGCGATAAAAATATATAAGCTAATGCTAAAATTGGCCCCAGTAAAATTCCCAGATTAATTCTAATTATTAAACTTGACTCAGATCCCACGCAAACTGCGATTGCATTTGGGGCCAGAAGCTAGCTACGTGTCTGTCTGTCTGCGTGTGTGTGTATGTGTGTGTGTGAGGAAGGCAGAGAGAACGCCAGAGAGAGAGAGCGAAAGGGCACTGCGCGCGTGTGTGTGTGAGCGTGCATAGCTGTATTAGTGCCACTCGCAGCGCTGATTGGTGCGCCTGTTGCGCTCAATTGCGATGCGAACGGCAGCTAACGGACCAATGGCAGAGCAGACAACGCGCTCAGACAGCCGCTCTTTGTGAGCACTGAGAGAGCGACCATGATTAGTGTGTGAGTGTGAGTGAGTGGAAGAGCGCAAAGAACCTGCTTGGGTTTCGCTCACGCTTTGTGCTCGCTCACCTGTTGCTTCGTTGCTGTCGTTGCTATCGCTGCTGCTGCAGCAGCGGCTAGCGTCGCTGTCGCTGTCGCTGCTAATGCGGGTGTCGCGACTCGTCGAATTCATTCATAAAACGCTGCTCTGCCAGCATTAGCGTCGCTGCCGCCGTTGCTGACTCAATGGGCACGCGCTTGGGTAAACAGTTAGCTCTAATTAGCTCTCCGACTTGCCAGTGTGTGGGCAGTGCGCGAGGGGGTTGGGCAACGATGACGTCGATGCTGACGCTGTTGCTGTTGCTGTCGCTGTCGCTGTCGTTATCGCTGAAGTGTGTGGCATGTTGGCAATGCCACGCGCAGCGTCCAACCGCACATCGATCCGATTACCGATTAACGCGATACAGGATGCTCACAGTCCAGGCTCAGGCTCAGGCTCAGGCCAGTGCGAAGCCAGCGAAGTGTGACCAGCACACAACGGTAAATCAATGACAGTCGGCGCCAATGGCGCCGGCGCTAACACAACTTCATATACATATGTACATTTGTATGCATCTGTGTATGTGTCTGTGTGAGCACTTTTGGGGCGTTCGCACCTCACTTTACACTCTCGTACCCAACTACGAGTGTTAGCTTTTTAATGGATCACTGACTCACCTGCCAGCACAATTTTGGGGTTTTCACACGGAATACGCAAACGCACATAAATAACTCTGGTTCTATAAATATATATATATATTCGTTTCTGTGTATGTGTGTGTGTGTGAGTGTGTGTGTGTGTGGCTGTATCTATCAGTGGAACGTGCTTGGGATCTATTACACATTGCTCGCGTTTTGTGGGTGGGTCAAGGCAACAATTGTTGGATTGCCGCAAAAATCGAAATGTCGGCAAGCAAATGGCAATGCCAGCATGATTGACTAGCAGATGCCCTGTAAACTGAACAGAGTCACATATATTCATTTATATGTATATACATACAAACATCTATACATATGTATATGTATACAGCCAACGATACACGCACACACAGATTTACACATGAGACACATCAAAAATTTAGTGGAAAATTGTATTTTATTTTTTCTACTTTATTCACACACTCCTATTTGATATTTTTAATAATAAATTCTCACTGAATGGAATTGCAAATATTTCTAATATGAAAGAAAAAGCAGAGTCTGCATTATTTATTTGCAGTTTCTAGAGCTTATGATTTCATATAACTAACGAGTGTTCATCGATACTAAGCAATTAGAATGAGTTATCAAATAAAAAAAAAAAAACCAAGTATACAAATGTATATAAGTATATATACAGCTACGCCGTCCAAACTAATAGTATATATGTATATCAGCATATATACACCCATAGTCATTGTCGAGCTTGAATTTCATATATTTTCAAAAAAAAAAAAAAAAAACAAAAAATTGCGCACTCCGCACACCCGTTGCTCTGGCTCCTTCGTAAGTAGTCGCACAGTTAACCAACAACAAGTACAACAATTGAGCTACGGCCAAATACCATAAACGGAAATGCCATGCGAATATCGTACGATGGAGGGAAAGTCGGCAATTTTTGAGCTGCTACTAATCAAATTCAGTTATGTATATATATATGTATATACATATGTATGTCTATTCATATAAATCTATATAATGCACATTTATAATACAAAAATATTATAATATAATAAAAATATATATTATATAATCTTCTTCATGTTTCACTGATAGATCTGTGGATATGGATAAACTTTTTAGAATATATATACTTTATCTGGCTATATCTAAGATTTCACTCAATGTGCAATTGATTTGTTTTTAGCCCACTTTCAATTCATTTCATTATATATATATACACATATAATAAATGAATCTAGTTTTATATAATATATAGCTATAACATATATGATGCTACGACATACAAGATATACATGCAATATATTTATGATTTTTGTGATATTATATAATTTCCTTCAATATATTCAATACTCGAATTTCCTACACCGTCCTTTTCCCATATTCACCCAGAAATTTCTGCAGTTTTCATTTCTGTTCATTCGATTTGCAAATAGTATTTATTAGTTCATAATACTTATGGGACTTACAACTCATAAAGGGGGAAGAAGTATAATAAATGAAAGATATGAATATATATAAATAGAAATATAAATAATATGAATAGTAATTAAAAAAAAAATGGGCGAATTTTTGACTTGCAAACTATATTAAATAATAATAAATAAGGGCATGTTAAATATATTAGCTACTACACGCTATTAGTAAACATAGATGGCATTCAAGATCAAATATAATATATAACATATAACATATAATATATATATATACTATGTATACATATGTGCTACGTATGTGCCTGATTTGTGGCTTATAGCAATTGCATTATAGATCGCTGATTCGATGTTTAGTTTAAGTTAGTTTTCATTTCTTTTTCTTCCTTCCTCTTCCTTTTTTTTTTTTTTTTTGGCATTATCTTGTACAGTTGCTTGTGTGAGTGGGGGGGGGGCACCTGTTGGCTGGTGGCATGTGGCACGTAGCTATGCTCACTCCGCCGCCTCCATCGCCTCCACCGCCTCCACCGCCTCCTGCTGGCTCAGCATTAAGCTATACTTTATCTCCAGCACATGGAGCAGCTTGACAAACTCATTGACAATGGCATACGCGCGACATGGATGGTTATGGAAGGGATCGGGAATGTGGCCTTCGCCTTCGGCCGTGCAGCTGAGTAGGGCCTCGACGTTGGCAATGTTGTGCTCGACCTTCTCCACAATGAACACAAAGTAGTTGTTGCGCAGTTCGTCTTTCAGGGCTTTGGTCTCATTGGCCAGAACCCGGCGTATTTTGACTAGCGAATGGTATATGGCCAGCACATCATCCTCCAATGACTTGCCCTCTTGCCTCTGGCCGGCGTACTGGCTGTTATTCACCTCATCCTTGAGCGGATAGTCCAGGTGCAAGCTGTGCAAGCGATAGCGTTGCGCCAGCTCCTCCTCGGTCGCATTGAACTAAAATCGAGAGCAGAGCAAACGAATTGGTTGGCGATTAGCAACTAGCAACCTAATCCCACATGGTGTCCATCAAATGCACCAGCTACTCACACAGGCAGTCAAGAGATCAATGGTAGAGGCCCGCGTGCCAATGGCCACATCGCGCGCATGCCTCAAATTGATCGCATTGTAGTTGGCCATGTTCATTGTGCAGTTGAGCTTCTTCTTATACTTCAGAGAGTGCTCGTCGGGCTTATGCTCCTGCCCCGCTGATCGCAGGTGCACGTGGTGGCGGTGCGGTAGTATCAGGTGGCGGCCAAGCGCGCGACGCGGCAGTGCACTGCTATAGCTGGCACACAGTATCAGTAGCAAGAGGACTCCAAAATAGCTGCCACAAGCTGCAATGAAACAGAAAGAAAACATTTTAGAGTTGGCTTCAAATAGAGCTCAAATATTTGGTATTATCTAATTTAATATAAATCACTATTTAAATCTTAAGCTTACAGTTTAAAGACTTAAGGAACACGCTTTGCATATAAATATATTTTATATTAAATTAAACATTTTTTTATATTTGATTTTCATATTAAAAAAAAAAAAGATTTGAAAAGAAAAAGAAAAAATCGGTGTCAAGCTTGAAGCTTTAGTATTAGCCATTATTTACGGCGTCTGTGACGTATGCACAGTCAGCATGTATACATATACATTTGCACTCACTGTCATATCACAAGCAAACACACAGGCACACGCACGGTCGCACAAGCACACACAAACACACACATACAGCGAATTGAATATCAGTCAGATTAGACGTTGACGGTGAATCATTGAGAGATGCAGCCGCAACAATTGGTGCAACAGTTCCGTGGAGGACAGAAGGACAACAGACGGGGAGTCGTGGTACGCGAACTTACAGAGGAGACTGTAGGACTGTTGAGCGCAAAGTCGTGGGCAGACAAATGCAGTTGCTGTCGCTGCTGCTGCTGTTGTTGTTGTTGTTGTTGTTGTTATTGTTGTATCCTGTAAGCGTTCGCTTTGGGACTCTGGGCGAGAGGGCTGCAGCGAGCTCTGCTCAGTTTTGGCCAACATTTGATTATTACGGCGCGTCACAAAGCCGCCGCACTTGCTTAACATTGTTGTGGACATTTGCATTGTTGTCGTTGTTGTTGCTTTGGGCACGAGCACTGAAATTCGCGTAAGGCCTTGGACAAAAAAAAAATAAAGAAAAACAAGCAAGCTGCAGCAGCGGCACTGTGTGACGATTGGCGAGGCGTTAAAGCGTTTTCTGTTACAATTGCCGTTAAGTCGAACGGTCCCAGCACAAGTTAACTCGTCAAGATCTCTTACTTATTTAATTTTTCCTACGGCGCGCAGCATATAAATAACGTGCAAAAGCCCGACCGTGCGGCGCGACGCAAAGCTCAACCACACGAGCAGCAAGCATCTTGGGCAACAACAGCAACAATAGGGCCCCCTCGGATGGAGCGGCACGACTGCGACAAGTGATGACGACAATTTTTCGAACTTTAATTATCAGCCAATCATATGTAAGCAAAGCGACCACACTTGCACACACACAGACACACACACACACACATACACATAACAGGGAGAGAAGCATACTAACGAGCGCAGACATGCGACCAACTTAAATCACGACGAAGTCTGCCGAAAGGCCGTTGCTCGTGTGTGGGCACACACACACACATACACAGTCACCCACAGCGAGACATACATAGGCGCAGTGCGCCAAGCAGAGCGGGCAGAGCGAGAGGGAGTGAGCATCTGTCTGTGGGAGTTGTGCAGCTGTGTGTGAGTGTGCGAAAGCGAGTGCGAATGCTAATGCTAATGCGAATGCGAATGCGAATGCGAATGTGAATGTAAATGTGAGTAAGAAAGCGCGCGGCGTCGGCGCAGACTAAACGTCGCGCTATACGATTGTGGCTAGTCAGTCGGCCACGCGTGCTTTGAAAAACAGCGATTCACACACAAACACACACACACATACAGCGCCATACACTCTAGGCGGGCAGATGACGATTGAATGAGAGAGCGACAATAAACATGTGTATTTGACACATCGTCTGAGCTGCCTGCTTAACTTTAGCTTCGTTGACCATCTCCTCTCAGCCCTCTGCACTCTGCCCTCCGCCCACCCCGCATCACACTCAGCTCTGCTGGATCTATTTATGGCACGCGACAGCAATGCTTGAGCGTGTAAAGTTCAATCTGAGGCAACCGTTGTCGACGTAGTCGCTAGAAGCGTGACTCAACAGCCGCAGAGGCGCAATATTGTTGTTGTTGATGTTGTTGGCGTTCTTCTTCTACTGTTGCTTCTTCTTCATGTTGTTTAGTTTATTCCTTTTGCTTTGAGAGCGATTTAATTTATGCACGCAATTCATGCCCAAAAACGGAAGTAACAATACTTTTGCTGTCTCCTTCTGCTAAATGTTGTTGCATGTTGTTGTTGCTTGTTGTTGTTGCTGGTTGTTGTTGCTTGTTGTTGTTACTTGTTGCTTTGTGGCAGCCACTTCGCTGCACTTCCGCACTTCCGCACTTCCGATTAATACTTTGTCTAACTTTTGTTGCCATGTCTCTGTGTTGGCCCTCTCAACACTCGCACTCACACTCTCCCTCTCGCTCTCGTCCCTCGCTTTCTTCTGTTTCACAGTAAAACAGTAATCTACTCTCAACTCCTTACTAAAAACTGATTTATATGATCTAGTATTTATATTATATATGGTACTTTGTATATAGATTCATATTGAACAGTTATAAAGATTAATTGAACAGTATTTCACACACACACAAGCACTGATATTGGCATATACGTACACAGGGATATGTACGCTATTCGAATTGCACAGATTTTCATTTTGGACTTAAGCATTTAATGAATGTTTGGCAGTTTTTGATTATGAATACACTCGTTGTTAGCATTGCACGTTTTGCAATTAGCTGCAAGCCGCTGCTGCCGCTGCTGCTGCTGCTGCTGCTGCTGCTATGGCATTTCCGATCCGCCTTACGGTGCGTGCGCACTGAACACCAAACAAGAATTGGCAAATTAGCAAACGTAAATAATGAGCCATGCACAGTGGGCATAATAAACAATGTGAGAAGACGAAGAACATGAGGAAGAAGAAGACAATAAATCAATGAAAACAGAAAAGCAGAGAATGAGAATCAGAGTCTCAGAGAGTGTGTGAGTGGGAGAGAGAGAGAGGAGCAAGCAGCTTTAGACTAGCATTAGAGTTCTCTGGCGATCTGACTCAAGTCAATTTCACTTAAATCGACTCTTCTATGAAATGCAACTTCATATTACTCATACGCACCGACGGAGTGTCAACTATTGCTCTAGCGACAGCACTAGCGAGATATATGCAAGCACATACATTTGCATTTGAACTGCAGCTGGCATCAAATCGCACAACTTGCAAAACAGTATCATTTGTGCCGTGCGCATGTCATAAATATATATGTATGTGTGTATATCTTATCTCATACATATATACATATATAAATATAAATATAAATATAAATATAAATATAAATATAAATATAAATATAAATATAAATATAAATATAAATATAAATATAAATATAAATATAAATATAAATATAAATATAAATATAAATATAAATATAAATATAAATATAAATATAAATATAAATATAAATATAAATATAAATATAAATATAAATATAAATATAAATATAAATATAAATATAAATATAAATATAAATATAAATATAAATATAAATATAAATATAAATATAAATATAAATATAAATATAAATATAAATATAAATATAAATATAAATATAAATATAAATATAAATATAAATATAAATATAAATATAAATATAAATATAAATATAAATATAAATATAAATATAAATATAAATATAAATATAAATATAAATATAAATATAAATATAAATATAAATATAAATATAAATATAAATATAAATATAAATATAAATATAAATATAAATATAAATATAAATATAAATATAAATATAAATATAAATATAAATATAAATATAAATATAAATATAAATATAAATATAAATATAAATATAAATATAAATATAAATATAAATATAAATATAAATATAAATATAAATATAAATATAAATATAAATATAAATATAAATATAAATATAAATATAAATATAAATATAAATATAAATATAAATATAAATATAAATATAAATATAAATATAAATATAAATATAAATATAAATATAAATATAAATATAAATATAAATATATAAATATAAATATAAAAATAAATATAAATATAAATATAAATATAAATATAAATATAAATATAAATATAAATATAAATATAAATATAAATATAAATATAAATATAAATATAAATATAAATATAAATATAAATATAAATATAAATATAAATATAAATATAAATATAAATATAAATATAAATATAAATATAAATATAAATATAAATATAAATATAAATATAAATATAAATATAAATATAAATATAAATATAAATATAAATATAAATATAAATATAAATATAAATATAAATATAAATATAAATATAAATATAAATATAAATATAAATATAAATATAAATATAAATATAAATATAAATATAAATATAAATATAAATATAAATATAAATATAAATATAAATATAAATATAAATATAAATATAAATATAAATATAAATATAAATATAAATATAAATATAAATATAAATATAAATATAAATATAAATATAAATATAAATATAAATATAAATATAAATATAAATATAAATATAAATATAAATATAAATATAAATATAAATATAAATATAAATATAAATATAAATATAAATATAAATATAAATATAAATATAAATATAAATATAAATATAAATATAAATATAAATATAAATATAAATATAAATATAAATATAAATATAAATATAAATATAAATATAAATATAAATATAAATATAAATATAAATATAAATATAAATATAAATATAAATATTAATATAAATATATGTATGTACATATAGCTGTATATGAAATAATTTGTTCGCTTTATAATTGCAGTGTTGCTCAGCTAAGTTATATATAGATATTATTCAAAGAAAACTTTAAATATTATCTTGGCTATGATTACCCTATCATTTTCCCGAATCAATTTTCAATCTGGAGTAATGGATGTGGTATTCCAAATCACAAATATTCACGATTGGCGTATTTGATAGAGACAGCTTTGTCATTATGGAATCTCTAGTTTCTATAATCCCCAAGCAATGTTCCACTAATGAAATCAAAGCATCGATATTTATCGATAATTGGCAAATCTTAAGCAATCCAGAGATTTTAAATTGCTGCAGCTGTCTGTTATATAATAAATATAATATAT